TAAGGGGGTTAACGAAGGTTGGTGGAGGGGTGATCGGGGGGGCGAGGTGTTCTGTAGGGAAAGAGCGGGACGGGAGAGGGGAGGAGCAGGAAGCCGGCGGCGCACAATGCCGTCAACTGTCCCTCGTACCAAGCTCGCATTTTTTTTGTATATACACCCATGTGTGTGTGTGTGTGTGTTGACAACGTCGAATGCAATTTTGTTAAAAATGCATTAAGTGCATGTGAGTGTGTGTGTGTGTGTTTGGGGTGTGTGTGTGTGTGCGGGTATGAATGCAATTGCATGTTTGTTTTTGTTGCCAATGCAGCCTACACTTGATGCGTGCGCAGCGAATACCGCCACCCTCTGCCACCCCCAACCGCCTCCTGGTACTCCCCCTCCTCTTGCTCACCCTCTCCCCCCCCTACATACACACACATACTTATGCATACATCAACCCATACAAGATTCACACACACAACACACATATATATTCATGGCAGTTGCATTTTTTCGGAAGATATGCACTCATTTTTTGTTCGACGTCGACGTTGCCGCCGCCGCTGCAGCTGCATTTTTGTATGCACTTACTTTACTTTTTGTTTCTATCTCGCTCATCCATCCACTCACGCATATAACGGCAATCAGGCAGGTTCAAAAAATGAAAAAAAAAAACCTATTTAAAAGGACTCAGGTATACCCTGTATGGCTAAGTAAATAAATAAAAATAAACTCTTTAGTAAAGATAAAGTGATCTTGCTTTAAATTAAAGCAAAAACTGTTATTGATATTATTTAACTATATTTTATATAGCGTATAATTTAAAATTATATAAATATATTACATTTGAAAAGGATATTAAAAAAAATGTTTTTACAGTTTCAAAGATCTCACGACGCATCTGCGAGGAAGTTATTTGAATAATTTTAAAGGTAATTATTTATAAACAATATTATGTTGGTATAATTTGGAAATAATATAGTAATTTAAATCAACATTAATGAAAATCTGCTATTCATATATAGTATGCATTTTATTTTTTGGCTTAATTAGATTAACAAACCTACTGAATTATATAAATAAACTGAATTAAAATAGCCAAACATTTTCTAATCTAAAATATACCAGCCTAATGTTGATTATATAATTACCCTAATTAATTACACATTTTCTCAACTTTACCCATTTAAATTTGACAAATAACACCTAACCTTTTCACCCCAAAAATAATACAGGGTATTAATTCGAGCAAGACCCACCAATTCGTGCCAGCCCATCCAACACTCATTGAAATGACAAAAAATATGAGGCAACGAAAAAAAAAGTAAATGAGAATTGGGAGGGAAAAATTCAGGGAAAACTGCAGGAAAAATAAAATAATGAAAATGTTTCGGGTGAGGAGGGGGAGGTGGACTGGAGGCTTTAAAAAATTGCTGCCCTGCAACAATAACAATTGCAATGGGCAGTGCACGCATTAACCTTTTTTATATCATCATTGTTATTGTTGTTGTTGTACCTTATATATTTCTCTTCTCTTTTTTTGCATATATTTTTTATTGTTGTGTATTTTTGGGGCCAAACGCAGCGAACAGCGCTGCCAACGTCGACGTCACTCTTTTTTTTTTTGCCAGTTATTACGTTCGCAATCTCTTTCTCTCTTGGTATTTCCTCTTTTTTTCGGTGTCGGTGAGTGTGTGTGTGTGTGTGTGCGTGGGGAGAATTTTTCGTAAACGAAAAATAATGAATATATACCCAGCGACAATCCACCGCTAGCCCCCCCCCCCCCCCTCAACCCCAACCCCAACCCCTGGGCCCATCGCCGAAAGTGCATAGAAAAAAGTAGCAAAGAAGAAAGACCAAAAAATGCGGGAAAAAAACACGGAGAATTACAGAGAGAGAAATATATGGGAATTAAGATTAAATTACAGAAAAGATTTTACAAAAGATTTCTAATATTTTTTTCAGTTAAAAAAACTGTTGTAAGATATATCAGAAATATGAAACAAATAAAAAAATATAAGTATTATATATACTTCTCAATAAATGCAATAAAATGGTATTTATCGGTGGATAAATAAATTCTATAGAAATTATAAATATTTATATATTTCCATGTGTATATTGCCCTATACAATCTTTAAGCCTACATAACTATATTATTTTTCAATAAGAGACTTCAGTATATTTAAAAAAAATTTCTCATTAAGAAAACGGTTGAAAAATATTTAAAAAAATATTAAACAACAATATTTTCGTATTATTTTTGGAACCACATTTCACGGTGCATGGAATTCGTACCTGGTATTTCTCGATGTATAATAAAATTAATACAAATTATAAATATTTTATTAATCTTTCTATATATTAAATATATATTCCTACAGTCAGATACTTTTTAAAATTTCCTCAGTTTAACCAATAAGTAAAATCCATTCAAGAATTTATGAAGTTCCTAAATTAGCCCAGACATTAAGACTAATTAATTGAATATTTAAATAATTAATTAATGTTTATTCTGTGAATTCTTCCAGTGCACACTCATACATCCACACCAAAAAAAAAACACACACACATAGAGAAAGTAAAACGCAGCGTGCAAAAAAAAGCGATCGATATGATGCACTCATTTTTGTCTGCTGCGCTGGGCGACGTCAGCGTTGCCGTCGCTGCTTCAGCTGCTGCTGCTGCTGCTGCTTCGAGGAGCAACGTCTCATCATCCTCAGCAGCAGCCTGAAAAAAATCTGTAATAATAAACGCTCGACGAAAAAAAAAACTCCAAAAATTGCAGCGTCAGTGGCTTTTGTGCTTCAAGTGGTTTTGGGTGGTCTAGAGGGGTAGGGGATGCCCGAGGGGGGCGGTTCCGGGTGGTGTGAGGCTGATTCCCCGGTCATCTAGTTGGAACACTTTTGGCCGATCATTGTCTCTAAACTCAGGCCAAAACTTAACGTTTAAACTTTAGCCAGAAATCATTTATAAGATTTAATTATATATAATAATAATAATTATATAATAAGCCAGAATATGTCATTTGTTGACAACTAAATACAATAATTATTTAATCAATTTGTAGACGAATGTTGATGGACTTAATTGATTTTAATGAAATAAACCATAATTTTTATATTTGGAACCAAAATTAATGGCCCAAATTAATTGCTTCAACATTAATTAGCAGTTTTTCTAGTTGAATAAATTAAGCCAGCGAAACAAAGTTAAAATTCAAACATAATCTCCTAAAATTAATCCTTCTAACAATTAAATATTCATTTTTCTTTCTCATCATTTAAGGGAGTTCACTGCTTCATCTGCTTTTTCTTATGCTTCCTGTCTTGCTTTTATTTCCTTTAAGCATTCCTTGCCATATATCCCTATCGCTCCTTTTCTTACTTCCTTCACCCCTTTTAGGTATTCATGGTTTCCTTCTCACTTTTCTTTTCAATTTTTTTTTGTACATTTTTTGACACATCTTTCTTGGCTTTTTTTGTGTGTGACAATTAAAATAGGTGTACGAGATGGTGCATGGCGACGATGGCGGCTGCTAACAAACACTTGGCCATGCTTTAGACAATAGACAAGGACTCGTGCTTTGCGGCTCAAGTGGCAGCCGCCATCGTTGCCACAGTCACAAAAAATACAGCAAAAAACATAATAAAAGGAGAATAGAGGAAAGGGATTCAAACCAGAACCGCAGAACAACAAAAAAAAAGAATACCAACCGAAAAAAGTAATGACAAAAATTGTGAAAAGTGCTGGGAAATTATGCACACGACACCCAGGTACAAATAACGGTTGTCTGAAGTGCAGACTCATACATATACATATATATATATATATGTATATATCAAAGTAATAATAAAAGGTGCTCCTGAACATTTTAGAGTAATTAAAAAAATAGCAGGTAAGGACCACAAAAAAAAAAACAACCAAAAACGGAAAAGGATTGCTCAAGGAGTTGGGATGCAGGAATACATAAATCCAGCATTCTTTTATCCTATTCTTTTCCTTTTTTTTTGTTTTTTTGGGAAAATTTTCATGTAAATTTTATGCACCTGCCTAACGTTGGTAATTAAGCGTGACTGCAACGGGGCGTATGTGTAATTTTCGGCATCGTTTCATAAACCACACTCACACACACACATACATGGGGCTATAATTGCACAATTTTTACATAGGCTCAGCAACAATAAAGCCACACAGCATCAGTATTCATTTCGGGGGTGGGGTGTGTGAGTGTGTGTGTGAGTTTGGGGGCAGCCCCGTTAAGTATGCTACAATAAGTGCAGTGTCAGAGGCGGCGGGCCAGCGCCCAAAGTGCAATTATCTCATGTATTGTCTGGCACACGATTCGGTGGGGTTTTTTTTTACAGCTTTATTTTTTTTTTGGTGAACATAATACCCTAGATTTGATAAAGGTTTCTGAGGTCTGTAGATCGTTTTGGGAGGCTTAAAATCAGGAAGAAATTGGGTAAGTTTTAAGGCTTTTCTTGTCCTGTTTTTTAAAAACAATGAGAAACTATTTATTAAAGGCCAATTTATATTTTAAATATGTAATTTTAAATCTTAAAAAGTTCTTGAATATTAAAAGAAACTATGAGATTTATTAAATATATTTTAAATTAAGCCTTGAACATTTTATAATCATAAATATAAGACCCATATGTATATCTTCTAGATTTCAACCTAAATTTAACGCCATAATTTCAACTATACCTTTCATTTAAAAACATCATTTAAAACCCTTAAAAAATCCCCCTAAAGAGTATCCCAGCGTCGCTTAACCCCTCTATAAAATTGCTTAATTTCCACCTATTTTTCTCCCTTTTGGGTTTTACATGAATTTCCGCATTTTTCAGGTTTTTTTTTTTATGTATTGTTCCGGGGGTTTTTTATAATTCTTTTTTTTGGCGTTTGCGCAGATTGCCAGATTTATATTGAATACATGCATATATACATGGGTATTTTATGTGCTGCTGCAGCACCCTTCCCCACCTTGGCTAACAATTTTTTTGGGCAGAACTCACCTGCTGGACTTGACATCGCCGCTAATCGATGAGTTCGGCGATGGTTTGCTGCTAAGATCGAGCGGTGCATCGGCACTGGGACTGCTTGTATCTTTGAGTGCGGGACTGATTGCGGCTGCAGATACTTCTGAGGTAGTTGGCGTTACCGAACTAGCGATCTGTTGCTGTTGCTGCTGCTGCTGCTGCAGCGAGTTGATCAATGTTGAGTTAAAGTCTGCGAGCAGCGAGAACTGCGCCAGCTGAGCGGCCATGGAGTCCATCGATGTCATTTTTGCTGCCCGTTGGGTCAGCAGCTTGTACAATTCCAGGGAATTAGAGGGTGTTGCTGCAGTAGCCGTTGCTGTTGCTGTTGCAGTTGCAGCAGCAATGTGACGTGTGTTGCTGCAACTGCTGCTGCTGATGTTGTTGCTGTTGCTGTTGCTGGTTTGGTGGGGCAGTGATGTGCTCGAGTTGCTGTCACTGTCGAGCTGTTAAGGGGAAAAGGTGAAGGTTAATCATAAGTTCAAGGTTCTGGGAAAAGCCCTTTCAAGGCCTTTAATTAACAAGAATTTCCACAGAATTTAATATCAGAAATATATCTAGACTTTCTAGTAAATATCACCCACCTGATGAATGTGGCTATTACTATTGCTACTTATGGTAGCTACTGTTTCGGCCACCAAATCGCCGTTGGCGTTAACCGTTAGCAGGCGACCGTTAACACAGAAATTGCACTTGGCCGACGGTCTCCAATCGTTGGGTTCTGGCGGTGGTGATGGTGTACTTGTGGCTGTCACTGTGGAACCAGGTGTCGGAGTACGTGATGAATCTTGTGATGTTTGGTTGTTGTCTGTCCATGGAAATTGTATTATTATTAATTAATACATAAAATTGATAAGAAATGATGTGAAAACCTACCAAAATCTTCCACTAGTAGCTGGTTGTGATACTGCTCTAAACGGTGGTGATTCTCTGGCTTAAAGTGGTCCTTGCTGCTGCTGCTGTTGTGGTTGTATTGCGATGGCTCGTCCTCGGAACCGGAAACTATTGCTATGGGCTGTTGCTCCTCGATATTCAAGTGGCTGCGCGTCAGTTGCTCTTGATAGTGTTTCCATTGCCTGCGACCCATAAATTCCTCAGCAACGCGTTCTAAGCCTTCAAATTTGAATAAGAAACCATGTAAAATTAGTTTAGAAAATATATTAAAATATAAACTTAGATTAAAGCTTAGTAGGAGCTAAAACTATAGCAATAACTAAACTTATAGCCACTCTGCATTAATTATTTAAACATTTAAAAAGAGTTCCATGCCAGTTGAAGAATGTTATGCCAGTTTGCATGGCTTAATAAACTATAATTTGCTCCACTAGTGGCAATTAATGAACCACTTTATTATTTTTTTCCTATTTTTCTTGAGCTCTTATTCCATTTCGCCTGGGAATTTGAGCAGACAGAAATTACTTAATTGAAATGCAATTCATTTAAATATAGGAGAATAAAAATGCCAGGAATACAAAAAAAAAAAAAGAAATTCACAGAGTGAAAGAAAAAGAAATGGTAAAAGAATTGTTAGCCCTATACTTAGGAGCAGCGCACACGCTGCGTATGCGTAATTATTGAATACGAAATGTGTGTGTTTCGCGAGTGGAAAATTGATAGATTTGTGTATTTATTTTGCGCTTCGAAGGCCTTCAACAGCAATAGCAGCAGCTGTGGCATATTCGTCCAACTCTAATTGCCACACAAAAGTTATGCAATTTAATGCAAAATGCATGGTCAGGTTGGGGTTGGGGTTGGGTAGGGAAGTCGGAGGAAGTGGGAGCCTAACCCCGCCACTTGAAGGGTCAGGCATGCGTGGCTCAAAAGGAAAAGTTTTGCGCATATGGCAAAAGGCTACGCGTCAACTCACACGAAATGCGAATTAGGCAGGAAGAAGGCGGGCTGGAAAAAAAACCATATATATATATATACATATGGGAAGCCAAATAAAAAAATATGTGAAGGTGGAAGGGGAATCCCCGTAGCATTTTTACAGCCAAAAAATTGCAGTAAAAAAGGCGGCATATATTGTGCCAAGTTCCGGAAGTTGGGACGCTCGTCGTTGTGTTGGGGAATTCTGGCGCCCCCATGTCCTTGCGGCTGAACCGTCGTCCTGATTGCGCACAAGTGCGTGTGTTCGGTGCGTGCGCCTGGGAATGGCAACTTGGGGGGCTGAAGTGGGGCACCAGGAGCGGGAGTAGGAGCCGAAGGAGCAGGAGCAGGTGCAGCAGACGCACTGCAGCTGCTCATTCCGGCGCAAAAGTGGAGCGGCATGTTCAAACTTTTCGCAGTGTAAAAATTGCATTGCAACTGCAGTTTTTTTTTAAGCGCTCAAATAAACAGGGTCGCCGTAGTCGTAGTCGTTGTTGTTGTTGTTGTTGTTGTTGTTGTTGTTGTGTTAGCGCTTCGGGGGTTGCGACGCCAACGTCAACGTTGCCACCGCTTTTTTTTTCCCGCCTTTCCTGCTTGTTTTTCCCGCTCTCCCGCTCCTCCGGCTTTCCACCTGCCGCACGCACCGAAAAAAAAATGGCGAAAAAAAACGAGGTGAATGCACGCACGGAACGTACAAAACTCAAACTTTAAAATGCAACCAGTTCACGAGACACACGCCTGCATTTTGTCGTTAAAAATGCAGGGCACAGGATAGTGAGCCTAACACGACAAGTAAATGCTCTATATTTGCATTTTGTATGCATTTAAAAACGTTAAAAAACGTATTATTATAAATTAGCAAAGGTAATTTAAAAAATTGTTAAGCTTTGTGTGAGAATCTTGTAGGTTTTTGTAATGGTTTTCTAGGAAGTTAATCTAAAATTAATTAAGAAATAGTTTTACTTAATATTTAAGTTCTCTTTCAAGTACTAAGTACTTATTATTCTTAGTTTTAGGTATTATTAATTGACTTGTTCCGAAAAAAACACTATTTCTGTCAGATTTCTTTTCTCTAAGTTAAGATTTCTTCTAGCCAAGTGCCCCTCTCTAGGTTTCCAAGGACTCCCTTGGCTGTATCAATTAGCTGCGGCTCATCCAATCTACTCCCCTTTCCCGCTCTACATATAACCAACTTCATGTGTAATTCCCAATTCATTTACAAACCGAGCTACAAATTGCAGTCGACCCATCTGTGGACGAAGGGTGCGTGTGCCAAGGAAACCCTCTACGCACATGGAAAATATTTTGCCGGGGGGTTCTGTTGCTGCTGTTGCTGTTGCTGTTGCTGCTGCTTCTTCTGGGTCTGCCAGATGCACTCATACACAGGCGGCATTCACACAATGCAACGCACGCAATGTCTGTTTTGTCTCTCTGCCCCGAGTGTGTGTGTGTGTGCGTGTGTGTGAGTTTGTTTTGTGCATGTGGTCGGGGCGACACACATTGCGTATACGCAATGTGAAGATGACGACGTCGACGGCCGCAAGGCGGGATTTCAATGCTTTCGGGTTCTGTTTCTAGGTTTTGGGTTTGGGTTTGGGTTTTCGAGGTTCTGTTTCTGTTTCTGGGCATGCAAGCCGGTTCTGGTTTGGGTTCTTGAGCCATCTATGGGAAGGAGGGGAGCCATCATGGCTGTCTGCCGGCGTTCACATTATGCCAAGCAACCAGAGCGCCAGAATGTATGCTAAATAGAATTTTTTTCGCAAAAGTCGCGAAAATACAGTGATAACTTGGAGTTAAGGGAAGATTTATAGTGCAGATAAGTTCTATTAATAAGATTATGTATAAAATTGTATGTTACAAATGAAAAATTAAAGGAAATACAATTGAAGAGTATTCAAAATTATGTTCTTCCACTTTTTCTTGTTGTAAACTTTGTAATAACTAAATAAGAGGTTCAGAAATTAAAGTATTTAAGTTTTTGAAGTTTTCAGGGCCTTATCATTCCTGGAAATACTTTTTCAAATATTTTTCTTTAATATTAACCCATGATTTCTTTAATTTTAGCATTAAATATGTGCAAAAAGTATCAGCGATCTCTGCCTGTACTTTGAAAAATAGCAGAAAAATGGGTGTATGTCGTCGGCTTAGACTATGTCGATGGTCGGGTGTCCTATGACCTATGACTAGGTCTGAGTGTGTGTGTGTGTGTGTGCGTGTGTGTTACAGTGTGTTTGAATAGTTGCAGAGAGCGAGAAAGAGAGAGAGAGCGAGCAAGAGTTTGCCATTCAAGGCAACGCAACGTGACACGTCAGGTGGGCTGGCTCTTTTTTTTTTTTTGTAGGAGGAGACGGGAGGGGGGACTTGTGATATCAATTCCCGGGGATAGGAACGAGGACGCTATGTCTGCCCATCCTGTCAGCCTGTCTGTCGCTCTGTCTGTCTATTTTGTTTGCTCTAGGGTCGCTGCGGTGCGGTGCCCTAAAACCAACTAACAGACAAACAAAAACGAAAGTGCGTTTAATCAAAGTTAGCTATTAAAGCCAAATGGCCAAACTAATTGTGACCCGCCGCCATGGTAGGCGGTATGATTTATATGCATTTTTGTGGGTACGGGGTTTTTGTTTTTTAAGCCCAAAAAAACAAGGGGAAAAAAAAAACAAGCTGAAGCAATTAAACACGGCAACACACTCATTTACAAACACATGCATTTAACGAAATGCAAATGGCATGCGCCATGAGAGAGACAACGCATGAAAAGTGGCAAAAGAAATGGGAAACAACAACAAAAAAAAACCATCATACGAAAAAATGCAATTATCGATTAATGTACCACATTATATAGCTCATATATATATAGAGAGAAGGATATATACATATGTATATACAGCCTGCGTGTGTCTGTAAGTAGATAAGCCCTTATGTATACATGCCACTTATATACCAGGCAGAGGAGGCATCTCTGTAGGTATGTTTGGCCAGAAGTCATTAAAAAAATGGTTGTTTTTATTTTTTTTGTTCTCCCGAGTTTTATTCAATTCTCATCCTTAAAATTTGTATATTTTCCGGGCAGGCAGGCAGCCGGCCTGCTGTCAAGTCGTTTACATAAGCAAATTACAGTAATGACATGCGGTAGGTACATAATGTATTCCCTTTCGAATACATAATTGTCTCACTATTGTTTGGAGTTGTCATTTGCATTAAAAGATATTCTATATGTATTTCAATTTTTCGTGCTGCCTCACCTTACTTTCTTTTGCTGACACACAGAAAAGACAAGCTTGGCGAAGGAAAAACAACTGCAATTTGACATTTTCCTGCATTTCAGTTTCAGGTTATTTTTTTTTGGCGTAATACATGCCGTAATCAAATGTCAAAAGTTACCGCCAGCCTTGGGGGCGTATACGTAATATAACGTATACGCATTGTAATTTTGTTGCCCCATAAATACTGCATTAGATGCAACACCGGAAGGTGTTGGGCCGCATGGCCTGGTTCACAGGTAATTAGATTCTAACCACACGTGGAATATAATAAATGTAGTTCAATTGGCAAAATACAAACAATAAAAGCAATAAAAATACAGGTTGTGTTCTAAAAGGATTCAGAAAGAGGTTAAGGGATAGGAAAATACTTTTCGTAGCTATTTTCTACTACTAAAAAACTAATCTATTACCTTCTTACAGAGCTCGCAAATAACTGTCGACCGATTTTTTTCTTACGCTCTCGTTGCGAGCACAACCGAAAAAGTTCATACTCTCTCGCTCTCGCTCTGAGCAAGAGACTCTTGTTGTATTCTTTTAGGTTTTCTGTTGAACGTTTTTCGTTGAGATCTTTGTGCGTCGCTCTTTCAATGAGCATTGCCTAAAGAGCGAAACGAGAAACGCTCGCACAATGAGAGTCAGCAAAAGACCGAAAAACTCAACGCAAACGGTCTTTGCATTTACTCACACACACTCAATTCACGATCGCAATACAGACGCTTAACGACTTGCTTGCCTATGCGTGTGAGTGTATACCAATACATATGCAAAAGACCCTTTGCTTCACTGAACACGACAAAACGGTCTTGGAACAACCAGAACAAAACAGAATAAAAAAAAACGGTTTCGCTCTGAGCGCGAGCGAGCTCATTTAAGCACCCTTATTTCGGTTGCTCTCTGAGTTTTTTCGTAAAGTGTCAGGAAAAGACACTTATTTGCAGACAACGAGAAACGGTCGACAGTTATTTGCGAGCTCTGCCTTCT